ATACCTGCCGGTAGAGTGCCAACGAGTAAAAACTGTGACAGTTGTGTGACGAGTGAAAATTTTTTCAGAGTATCTTAGAAATACCAGCAACTGATGAGATCCACATGGGCGATCGAAACCATGGTCTTGCCTGAACTAAAACTAAGTCGACCAATGGCATATAAACACGCAAAACAGTCAACAGACTTGCACGTAAACAGCTACATTTGAATCATGTGGTGCCAGAACAAACAAAATGAGGAATAAACCTATACATCGAGCGACATAAGTTCGATCAGATAGATGCAAGAAACTTATAAGAAAATCTGTAGACAAATGTATAGCTTTATCGAAGTAAAGCTACGGCATCTCCGAAGAAAAACGTACGATGACAAATGTGATATCTGTGATAAGAATCAATCTACTGTACTTGCAAACAGTTCTAATCAAACAGCCGGGCCTGGCATCACAAATATAGAATGCAAGTAAGCAACATGTTCATGGTAAATTTCATATTTTGTCCCTCGAAAACAACTGCTTGGAGATTTAAAAACATATCTTGCAATAGAAATGAGCCTAAACAATGCGTAAGCACATGGCAACTTAGAGAGGTGTCAAACTCAGCAAAGTGACATGCTGATTAATGCAAAAAGCATGCGGGTACTGAATAAACAAGATGAGGGACTTTTCAGAAAGTCTTATGATCCTCCTGATGTGATTGGTTTAGATAATAATACCGTTATGTCATTGAAAAAAAAAAACAAAAAAAACAATCAACGATGATATCACTCTTACATTACCTTAATGCTTACTTTTTCATTCAAGATTTCTTCTGCCTGTACCAAATTAACTTGAGTGATGGCTTTATAATGCTACCGCCTCGTCACCCTCATGTCCTCGCAAGGGTGACTCTTTGGCAATTATTATTATTATTATTATTATTGTTATTACTAAATTTGAAGAACAGTTATTAAAAGCCAAAAAAAAATGTAACTTGTCAGTGACTTTCTCATTATTAAAGCCACTTTTTTAGCCCAACGTAAGTGTTTATTCAGCCAATTTGTTATTTATAATTAAAAGATTCCTTGCCTTTCTATAAAAGCACAATTTTGGGGGTTTTAGTAGGAAATTTCCACTGTCTTTGTACATCTACGTAGTAATCCTATGGACAGACAGACTTCTGTTAAAAAAGCAACTGGGAAAAAACTCTATAAGTGTTTTCTAAAATTTTGCACTCTAATGTTATCAATGCCAATTTGTGGTTCTTTCATTCAGATAAAAGAAAATCAAGAACGTCTGCTCAAGGCCAAGGACTTTTTACCCCCTGTGGTAAGGTTGTTTCCTTTATCTGTTAAAATACACCCTTGTTAATTTTGTAATAATGAGAGATTCTCCAAATCATCTCAATGTGAAAAGGGAAACCTACTTCGTGATATTTGTGTACATGTTTGCTTAGACAGGGTTCTTTCAAATTTCTTTAGTAGTTACCCTGGCGACATGTAAGTCGCCATCAGCTACGTGTACACCTACAGTGTGACAGTGCTTTCATTATGATTTGAAATAGGTGGCTGCCTTGTTGCTGGCAGTACCTGTAATATTAGAAGACCACAATGACTTCTTCTAGGGGGTTAATATTTGAAAACTACCAACACCAACCTTGGTCATTTATAATAGTATACCAGCCAGAGCTCTGGGAGGCATTGTGACTATTAATGTTGAAGTTACGATATAAACTTAACAATAGATTCCATTTGCCATGGAAATATGCTCTGATATTTATCTGTGAACAATTTATCTGTTCCGAGTGGCGAACAGTGAACTTTCAGGAACACTTACGTCCAAGGACAAATTTCCGAGCATATTTTCACACCAAATGGTGACCATTGCATTTATTATTCTTCAAATATTTTTCACAACATGCCCAGTTTTGAAACTTGAGGAATATCACTTGGATATTCCCAGTTTTAGCTGGGGCATATTCAGTCATGTGATGCATTTAGACCAATCACAGTCAAACAAAAATATGTGATGGATTATAATCACCAAGAGTCAGCATTTGATACTGTGGGACAAAGAAAACTTGGTTTCTTTGATATTTAATTTTTTTTAAATTTATAATATACAACAAGAATATACAGTCAGGTGCCTACATCTTAATCTTCTTGTAGGCTTACAGCCCAGAGATTTTTATTCTTCCTGGAACGCATGATGCTGTAGCTAGGCCAGTGGAGAATGCTGCAAATACCATTATACAAACACACGGCCTCACAACAGGTGTGCAATGAAATAATTCATCTTTGTGAAAACTTTCCAAGATAACAGTCCATTTTATAAGATTATGATAAGGATAAGAGTCCATGTTTGTGAAGAAATTTTCAAGATGACTGAAGTTTAAAGTTGAAAATTAATATGCAACATTATAGAATTTTCAAAATGGGGAAATTTATACTATGAATGAATTATCTGTCCGAGACAAAAAATTAGTTTGCTTGGGATGGATAAATTATCCCAGGTATAAATCTGGTGCTTAGATGAATTACTTGTCTGTGGAAAAATTTGTCTTTGTACAATTCATCTGTCAGCACCTCTTCAAGACGCACTGCCAGATGAATCAGTTTTAAGACAAAGTTTGCAACAGTTTTTTATCTAAACACTAGATTTACATGGATGCCTAGACGATTTATCCATCTTAACATCAAAACAAGTTTGGTGTCAGATAATTTGTCTAGTGTTGCTCAATATCTTTGAACAAATTCACACCCTCTGGTTTCATCCCAGATACACAGCAGAAGTTAGAACCACCTTGTATGGTACAACAAACAGTACCAAATTGATATAATGCTGCTCAATAGCTTTCATTAGAAATTTTGGCCCTGATCCAAAAACAGTGTGACCTTTACATAGGCTTTTTTAACTAATAGACATTTCCTCCATTCACGTCAGTGTGTTCGAACAATAGCACCAGAGCGAGGTTAGACTATGAGTAGTCTCTCTTTCTCTTAGTCCGTCATGCATGACATGAAAGAAAACCCGGGAGAGAAAAATAGCTTCCAGGATTTTGCGCAGCCATTTTATTCTCACTGTTTTCTTTCACGTCACAAACGATGGTCCAAGCAAAAGAGGGACTACTTGTAGTCTAGAGTGAGGTTGGCTCCACTTGACTTGGCTCCACTGTTTGTTGGAATGCGGGAAAGGTCTATTCTGAAAGAATATCTCTGCTTTAATATTGTATTGAGCACTGACACCTATTTTCCTTTCATTATTTTTTCCCCAGCTGGTATGGCTTCTATGCAGCCTCACCAGTTACCACAAGCACGATATCCAGTTGGATATATACAACATCCACAAGCCCTGCCAAACATGCTACCTGTGGGCTTTTTACCCCAGCAGTCTGGCCAAGTGGAGCAGATGGGTTTGCAAAGCAGAGAGGCACCTTATGTTAATTGCACTCAGAGGACCAGCAGGTCTAACAAGTCAATATCTGATGACGAGGGTAGCAGCGACTTTGAGAGACCACAAGACGAGGGAAACCAAGAGGTCACTGGTAGACGTCAGTCAATAGAGGACAGAAGCGATGGGTCTTCAGAGAATGATGGTGGTGACGGAGGCGATAAGCCAAAAGTGATGGAGCGAACAGAACATAGGAAGAAGCAGAAAAAAGCAGGTCAAGATGAACAGGAAGAGGAAGCTTCTAATGTTGTTGCATTAAAGTCGAAAAAGAACCGAATGCAAAAGAAAGGAAGTAGCAGTTCATCGGGAAGCAATCAGTCATCAGAAACTAAGACTGTTAAGTTCATTCAACCAGAAGTATATCAGAGCCTTCCCATTCCTAGTCAAGGGGGTGTACTGATTTCTCCTCCTACTCCTATTCCCTCCGGGCGTGTCATTTCTTCCCCTTTTCCTGCACAGCAGTTTGAACCAGTTAGTGGTCCTTCTGAGAAGGAGAGAGCTTCTGAGATAAAGAACAATAATCCAAGTGGTGAAGTTGATGATAAAGATGCGATGGCAACAGAGAAGAAGAAAAAGTCGGCCGAAACCAAAAGAGGTAAAAAGAAAAGGCGAGAGAAGTCGCGCTCTCCTTCCCTGGAGCGAACACAACCCAAAGAGCACATCAGTCAAAAAGAAAACAGTGGGGATGTTATATATGAGGATGATGATAATTCAGCTGTGTACGGTGAAGTAACAATGAGTCGAGTTGAATCTCCTCCAAGTTTAAGTGAAGTTGAAGAGAGATCAAAGTTTGTTCAGTTTCCTTCCCCAGC